CCGGGCGGGGCGCGTGGCCGGGCGGGACTGGCCTCCTGGCCGCGCCGGTTCCCACCAGCCGCCGGGCGCGCGAGCCGGTTTTCGCCGAGAAGATGAAAGACTGGTCTCTGGGACGCAGGTCATCGGGATGCGGCGACCTCCGCACGCTGGCTGCTTAGACTCTCGCCTCCGGAGAAGGAGTTTCTGCCGAATCGGCGATTGAGTTTATTTAACAGTGATGGGGCGCACCGTGACCAGGTACAGTGTGACCACCCCCAACCCAAATCTGCCACATCCTTTGTGGATTCTGCATTCTGGGCAGATTTTCTCAAGACTTAAAACCTACCAAAGAAAAGATAAACCGAGGTCAAACCGAATCCCAGTAGGGTCCAGGGAGTGAGATTAAATTATTTCCTTTTGTAATCTCTGTTCTCTGTAATGATGACATTGAAACCCTGAGGTTTCCCAGTAGATATTTAAGCTGAAAGCAACATTGTGCTTGTTCTCAGAGACCAAGACTTTCTGTCTCTCCTCCCGGGATATTTCGCAAAGTCACAAGCAAAAAACACACAAGCAAACAAAACCAAAACACAGCAAACCACTCGCCGGGGCCGAGCAGGCGGCGCGGGGAGAAGGGCCCGGACACGCCCTCTGGGGAATCCTTCTCCGGAAACCCCGCCCCCCAAAAGGACGATGACAAGGGACAGCGAGTCACCACCTCCCCAAATGCTTGGTCACTTTGCTTGGGGGGCTCAGCGCTGAGAGTCCGGACCTCGGTTTCTCCTGGCCTTCTGTAGTGGGAGAATGAGGTGACGTTGCTGCAGATTCTTTGAGGTCCTAGGTTTGAAGATGAGACTAATGAGCATTAATGTGTTAAATTCCGGGAAATGAATGTTCCTGAGGACGCTCTTCAAAGAGCATTAACAATTGAGTAGATCAGTCATCAAACCTTCTGGACTAGACTTACAGGCGTGCCCTTGTCAGCTTGCGATGATGAAAGCAGCCTGAAGACACCAGGACCTTAGAAAGAACATTTATTATATTAATTGTCTTGTTCTTAAGGAGAAGCACTGGTTTCAAAAATCTGGGTGGAGCAATAAATTCTTTAGTCGGTATTTACACAGATCTTTAATTAATTAATGGCACTTCTGTTATTTCTTAGGGGTTCTAAACCAGCGGCTCATGGATAGACTTCAAGAAGTACGTGAACTCCTAGAAATTGGTTGCAATTATTTTCTGCATTATTGGTGTGTGTTTGGAGAAGAGTTTATAGAGTTCATGCAATTCTCAGAGTTTGATCCAAGTAAGAGTGAGTATTCTGGCCTCTGCACGTCCCTCTGGGTGTGGACCCACTGCTTCAGGTGACCAGGCTTCAGCATGGCCCCACTGGACTGGGCCTTTCAGGTCCCCCTGACCTGTTAGCCTGCACCTCTCTCTCCTCCCCCACACTCCCTATTCACCTTTCTGCTGAGTTGGTATCCTAATAATCACAACATCTCCCATTATGCAGAGACCTGGTTTAATAAAATGCATTCACCTGCACTTGCTCATTTTGTTTTGATAACTGCGTATTGCAGAAAGCGAATATGGAGAGTGATGGAGGATGTCTGACCCATGCTAACTACAAAATTTTCAATGTAGTTACCAATGCAGAAAATTTGCTCTAGGGCAGAAATGGAAAATAGATATGAAACAATTTAGATAATGTCTCCCAAATTGGAAAGAGTTGTCAGGCACTGTGTTATATACCCTGAAATAGCCATGATGAAGTAGACAGTTCATCCACAGGAGGGGCAGATTAGACCCAGGGCAATGGATGCTTTATAGGGACAGTCAACCAGTCTGTGGTCAGGAGGTGGAAAGCCAGTGTCTCCTCTTTCCGGGGATAAACTGGGATGAAAGTGTGGAGGTGCAGCAGGAGTGGGGTTGTACGAAATAAGGTGTTTGTAGGGAAATGAAAGTTCTGCATTCTCCCTTCTGTCATCGTCTGTGGGTGGTAATTTCAAGGCAATAAGACCATTCTTTCAGGTTTCCACTCAATAAATGTGAGTTCAGTACTTGCTACTTCGTCTTAAAAGACACTGTGCTGGGTGCTGACCAAACCAATCATATTTGGTTTTGTTTGTTTGTTTTTTAAACAGGTTTATTGAGGTCTAATGGAAATACAATAAATTGTATGCATAGGTTTTGATGTATCTGTGACGTATGTATACACCTGTGAAACCATCCCCACAATCAAGTTAGGGTCACAGCCATCACTCAGAAATGTTTCCACGTGCCCTTTGGTAACTCCTCCCTCCTGACAGCCCCCTGCCCTGGCTTCGTCCTGCATCCCTAGGCAAACCACTGAGGGGCTTTCTGTCACCATAGAATAGTTTGCGTTTTCTGGAATTTTACAGAAAGGAATCATACAGTATGTGTACTTTTTTTGTGTGGCTTCTTTCACTCAGCGTTTTCATTTTCAGATTCATATACGTTGTTGCATGTGTCAATAGTTTGTTCCTTTTTATTGTGCAGTAGTGTTCCGTTGTGGATATACTACAGTTTGTTTATCATTCACCTGTTGATGGACACCTGGCTGGTTTCCAGCTATTGGATATTATAAATCAAGCTGCTATGAACATTCGGGTACAAGTTGTTGTGTGCACATAGCTTTCATTTCCCTTGGGGAAATATCTAGGAGCAGAATGACTGGACTCTACACCAGATATTTGTTTAACTCTTTCAGAAACCGGCAAACTGGTTTTCCAGGTGGTTTACCGTTTTCCATTCCCAGCAGCAGTGTGTGAGCGTTCCGGCTGCTCCGCCTCCTGTGCATCACTGGCTGTGGTCACTCTTTCAGTCTCAGCTATTCTGATAGGTGTGTTGTGGTATCTCACTGTGGTTAATTTTGCATTTTCCTAGTAACTAATGATGTTGAGCAAATTTTAACGTGCTTACTGCCATTCAGATATATTCCTTGGGAAAGTGTCTGTTTAAATTTTATCTTTTTTTTCTTTTACTCTGGATGTTTGCTTTTCTAATTATTGAGTTATTTGTTGAATTTTAAGAGCTCTTTAAATATTCTGGATACAGGTCCTTTCAGAGGTGTGATTTACAAATATTTACTTCCAGTCTGCGACTTGTTTTTTCATTCTGTTAAAGAATGAAAACTCTTTGACAGAGTCTCTTTGAAAGAGCAGAGTTCTTAATTTTGAAGCGCAATTTATTATTTTTTTTAATAAATTCTGCTTTTGTAATCATATCTGCCTAACCCAAGGTCACAAAGATTTTCTTCCGGAAGTTTTCTTTTTTTGGTGAGGAAGATTAGCCCAGAGCTAATGTCTGTTGCCAGTGCTCCTCTCTTTGCTGAGGAAGATTGGCCCTGGACTAACATCCGTGCCCATCTTCCTCTATTTTATATGGGACGCCGCTACAGCACTGCTTCATAAGTGGTGCGCAGGTCCACACCCGGGATCCGAACCAGCGAACCCCGGGCCACTGAAGCAGAGTGTGCAAACTTAACCACTATGCCACTGAGCCGGCCCTCTTCCAGAAGGTTTATAGATTTAAGTTTTACATTTAGGGCTGTGATCCATTTTTAATTTCTTCCTAAATATTTCATATTTCTTCGTCCTATTATGAATGTTTATAATTTCACTTTCTGATTGTTTAAACACTTGACTTTTGTATATTTATCTTTTATGCTACAAATCTGCTTAACTAAATTTTTAGTTTCAATGCTTTTTTGGTAAACTCAATAAAATTTTTACATAAATGATCAAGCTGTCTGTAAATATTGACATTTTTACTTCCTCTTTTCAAGTCTCAGTGCTTTTTACTTCTTTTCTTGCCTCGTTGCACTGTCTAGGGACCCCCGATACAAAATTGGCTGGAAATGGTGACGTGGCTGTCCCTGTCTTGTTCCTGATCCGAGGTAGAGATAATTCAGTCTCTCACTAGCAAGTATAATGTTGGCAGTAGGATTTTTGTAGATGCTTTTTATCCAGATGAGAAAGTTCCCTTTTATTTCTAATTTTCTGAAAGATTTTTTTAAAAATTAGGAATGGATATTAGATTTTGTCAAATACTTTTTCTGCATCTATTGAAACAATCATATGGTTTTTCTTTTTCCTTTCCGTAATCCGTGAATTACTTAGATTGATTTTCAAATGTTAAATCATGTTGCATCCCTGGGACAAGCTGCACTGGTCCTGATATATTATCCTTTTAAATTATTGTTGGATTCAATTTGAAAAAGTTTTATTAAGAACTTTTGCATCCGTGTTGATGAGGATATTTTCTTTTCTTGTTTTGTCTTTACCTGGTTTCGTGTCTCAGAAGTGCTGGCCTCATAGAATGGGTTGGTGTGCGCCTCCTCTTTGGTTTTATGGAAGAGTTTGTATAGAATTGGTGTTATTTCTCCCTTAAATGATTGGCAGAATTCATCAATGATGCCCTCCAGACCAGGAGTTTTCTTTGTGGGAAGGTTTTTACCTATAAATTCAATTTCTTTAGTAGATATAAAGCTTTTCAGGTCATCTATTTCTTCATGAGCGAGCCTTAGAAGTTTGTGTCTTTGAAGAAATTTGTTTCATCTAACTTGTTGAATATATTGACGTAAAGTTGTTCATAATATTCCTTTAATATCTGTAGGTCTGTAGTGATAATACTCTCTCATTCCCAATATTGATAA